ACCATCATCATATGTTTTCAGCCATCACTGCATCGCATCATATTGACTCGCGAGAGGTTGACTTACCTCCTATACCGTCATCATATGCTTTCAGTCATTACTGCACCGCAACACATTGTCTCGTGACAGATTGGCTTACCTCCTATACCGCCATCATATCCTTTCAGTGATCACTGCACCACATCATATTGTCTCATGACAGATTGACTTACTCTCTATACCGTTTTCATATGTTTTCAGTGATCACTGCACCACATCATATTGACTCATGACAGATTGACTTACTTTCTATACCGTCATCATATCCTTTCAGTTATCACTGTACCGCATCACATTGTCTCGTGACAAGTTGACTTACCAACTATACCACCATCATGTCCTTTCAGTCATCACTGCACCGTGTCACATTGTTTCAGGACATATTCACTTACCGACTATACCGCCATTGTGTCCTTTCAGTGATCACTGCACCGCATCGTATTGACTCGTGAGAGATTGACTTACCTCCTATACCGCCATCATGTCCTTCAGCCATCACTGCACCGTATCATATTGACTCGTGAGAGATTGACTTACCAACTATACCGTCATCATATTCTTTCAGTCATCACTTCGCCGCATCACATTGTCTCATGACATATTGACTTACAACCTATACCGTCATCATATACTTTCAGTGATCACTGCACCGCATCGCATTGTCTCGTGACAGATTGACTTACACCCTATACCGCCATCATATCCTTTCAGTTATCACTGCACCGCATCACATTGTCTCGTGGCAAGTTGACTTACGAACTATACCACCATTTTATGTTAGGTTGCGAATGCATTGTATAACATCCTTCAAATAAAGATTGACTTACCCCCTATATCAAAGTCACACCTCTTCGGTTACCGCCGCGTAACATAATATCATGCCTGGAGAAATTCACTTACCGCCTACATTATCATTGCGATCAAGTTAATAACCTCTGCATTATTATCATATATCCGCCTACGTACCTCCTTAATTCCGTGTCTATCAGCACGCATCCCAAACCTCTTTGAAAACCACTTACGCCCTGCCTTTTGTTAGTTCTTTTTCTCTTCATTCCGTATTGTGCTCACCGTAAAACTATCATGAATCCAGGGGCCATCTTCCATTTTTTTTGTATTTTTCGAACCTTTAGACATATGACCATTGGGTTCTTTGGATTCTGTGGACAATATGCAGGGAGCTTCGGAAATATGTGAATCTGAAAACCGACAGAGGTCATGGGAAAGCTAGAAGGAATAAATGCATGTCCTGAGGGTGCATATCCTGAGGGGTAATCCTTGGCAAACGCTAACTGGCCTCCTATCAGAAATTAGGAATTAATGTACTTGCCAAGCGCGTAGCATAACGGTATCCCCGCTTCTTAAACCATGGCGACAAAACCAACAAGATTTTGGGAAGAGGCTCATTATATTCAAGTGCCATCCACACCAGGCGTAGAATTCAGAGATTTGAAACATAGATATCATACGCAAATTACAGCATACGACAGGATTTGATAAAAGTACAGTATAACAAAGTTACGTTCCGAAGTATCACTGAGCCTCGGAACTTCTAGCGGGCCGAAATCAGTAATTCTAGCAAAGACCACGTAGGTATTAGTCGCTTCTGGAAACTATTCCGGCACAAAATATGATCGCACCAATTTCGTGATATTGAGTTTTAAGCTGAGAAAAAATCAACGGGAAAGTCGGACAAATCCCTTGTTTGCTTATGATCGGCCAGGTACGTATGCCATACTACGAGAAGTAGGGGAGTTGATGCCACAGCAGATCTGTTAGGAACATGGCACAGCTCTTCCATGGTTTGTTCAGTTTCGGTCAGCATTAGGGGCTACTGTGGGGTTCTAATGCAATAAATGCTATGGGTGCTGAGATAATGAAAAGCCTTACTAATTATTACAAGACTTTTATATGAAATAGACAGTGAAAGAATAAGTAATTGCTGCATCTACCATCGTTTTCCGTGCTTACTACTGAGCATTTCCTTAGCCATTCGAAAAATGTAGTACTCAACAGCACCAACCCTAAAAGAGGACGCTTGATAGCAGAAAGATGCTTGACAATACTTATACTCAGTTGCAAAAGTCAGTGTCTTGAGTACTGTAGTACACTTCTCTTGATTAAGATACTAATATATACTACTACTTCGCATGAAACTATGACCTAACTTCTTTATTAGTAGCCTCCATATGAGAAAGAATCAAAGGATATAGGCCCCGGGCACATGTTTTACAAGTGTATCACCATTCAAGAGCCGATAATTCTATTGCTACAATTTTAGTGTATAGCGCCTAGTTGATGCACGGAACCGTCTCCCGCAAGAAATGGAGTCTGATCCATTCATTAAGCTGTCAAGATTACTCGATTCGCTGGGCCCTTGGGGAAACTTGTCTTGAATTGCCGCGTCCAGTACCATTCTTTTTAGTGCCTTACCCATTCATATACAATGTTGTTTGCCGCTTCTTCTCTTACAAATTATCCTACATCAAGTTTAACCAGATAGCTTCTCGTCCTTATACTATCTTTGTCTTAGCATATCCTCATTTTCTGCGAAGAAAAGTGGAGAAAATAAACATGAAAGGGTGTTTTAGGTAGTTATACCATCGGCTGGTTTCTTATATCATCCTGCTAGCCGGTAGCTCATAAAACTGCTGTAGACCATTGTGCAGCCGCGCTTCAGCTTTCGCAGCTGCACAGCCCGTCCACCATCGGGAGCAGATACCTATGGAAGGATATGTCACTTGGTCTCGATAATGGTTGTAGTTGTACGCTGAGGAACGACGACCATTACAGCGCTCGCACCGAAGAGGCCCGGCTGTTATCCTCGTTTCAGTCGCTGGATAGAAAGGCTGGTCCCGCTCAGTTGGCAGCCTCGTGATGCTCTGTTTGTGTTTCTGTGTCTCCCAGGTAGTCGCGCGAGTTTTGACTGTGGTACTGACAGCTGCATTTGAGGGACGTAGAGATTTGCGCCTGAATTTTCCAAGTTAATGCTTCATCGAAACCGTGGAGGACGTGACGGATTATACCTGCGCCGAACCCAGAGCCATATGCCATAAAAGAAGTGCATTGGTTAGGACAATCTAGATGATGAACCAGCACGTAAGATTGGCCTTTGACACAAGTGAATCTTGCTTTGAATTTAAAGTATGGGTTTTGTTTCAAATATAATCTATAAGACACCTAACAAGGCAAGGCATAGCTGAAACAATTATCTATGGCTAAAATTATATTCCAAGATATGCAATAGGAGACAAGGGCGCTTCATGATAGAGTGTTATAAATTGTCTTAGGTATCTGACCGGGCTGATATGATAGATCATCGGCGAGGTTAATATTTTTTGTTACATATGGCTGGAAAGTGCACGTAGATTTGCTCGGCTAACCATGAAGCCTAAAAGGTCATCATTCTTGCTGTTTAACCAACAGTGATTTAGTTAAATACAGATCTGAGATACTTTGAAGATTGGATCGTCAGGCTGAAATTGAGCAGGTCAACTTCGCCTGCCGTACCTGAAGCATTCAGTATCACAATTGGATGTATATGTGGCATTATAACGTGCAAGCTTCGATAGTGTAGCATATTTCCAGGATTTGCTGAACCCTTCTCAGGATTGTGATATACTGAACATTCATAAAATTTCCAAGTTTAATATAAATTTTCTGGTAAACTCAACCCCACCCTCATAGTTCTAGCGTGAAACCTAGCCAGGCATTCAGTAGGCGCCAACCAGTTCCTCGTCCAGGCTTTGTCCCAGTATGCCGTCCTTCTGCTTTTATCAAGGCCTGGATCATTGTTGTGGCCCTAAAGAAAAACCAAGTGTTGATCAATCAGTATCGGACTCAACCATTGGCTGACCGCAAGCCAACTGCGTTGGAATTCCCCACCACACTGTACCATTAGCATGAAGATTTAGACGAACATCCCACTCAACAAAGGGCTTCATTGCAACAAGTTAACTGATTGGGGTGTCCATTGGGAGCTTTTTCGGTGGAGCGTCCATGCGCAGCACTGGTACAGAGAATAATAAAGTACCAAAAAAGGTAGGAATCTGATATGAATGATGATCCACAAATGAATTACATGGGGCCAAGACATCCAATAAATGAATAGATTGCGGTCGAGCAAAGAGCTCACTGCAAAAAGGGACCAAAATTGTCCACTGTCCTGTCTTATGTACCATACAGGCTTATTGGTCATGGCAAGTAAGTGGAGCTATCAAATCACCGATGAATTGTTGGCCTCAACCACTATAACCAACTATAACCAACACCGGTGAACGCAGTCGTCAGCCTGCACGGCTCGCAGTCGCCCAAGACTGAACTTTACGAAAGCCACCAACCGGCCGCCGCCATGAGTGCCAAATACCCATATCATCCTCCATTTAAAAAATCTATAATCTCAACACCATATTTACCAAGAAATACTACTTCAGCATATCAGCAAACACAGTGCCACATTCTCCCCCGCACTCCAGTCCCGATGAGAGCCAAAAAGCAGAGACAGCCTTTACAGAGAGCGACTGTGATCAAAACGGCTCAAGTTAAGCCAAAAGATTCACTTGGGTCCTTGGATAGAGGCGTCCTTATCAAAATACAGAAATGCCTAAGTCGAGCTCGCCATAAGAGTACCACCGAGCCAGAAGCCAAAGCCGCCCTTTTCGTTGCCCAGAAGCTAATGGCCCAATATAATGTCTCCCAAGCGGATCTAGTGGCCAACAGTGATTATGGAAGCAAAGCCCAATATGGAGGAATGAGCAAGGTGGAAATAACCAACGTTAAGAACCGTACCAGACGTGTGATTAATGAGGCATTTGTGCACAAGTTGGCAAAGGCTATGTGTATGTCCTTTGATTGCCAATGTTTTTCGACGGACTACGAAACATCCATTGCTTGGTCATTTTTTGGTATAGCGGAAAACACGGTCACAGCGGCAATAGCGTTCGAAATGGCGCACAATAAGATCCTGGACTGGGCATGCTCCTATAAGGGCGGTTCGGCCACGTTTAGCTACCGCGTCGGAGTCGCTGATGGGCTCGTCTCCATGGCCAACCGTGAGAAGAAAATCGAACTCGAGGCGGCAAGAAAGAAAGAGTTAGATATAATAGCCGCCAAGGAACGGGAAGCAGACATGGAACGCGAGCGCAAACCTCAGAGGCTTTATAAAGGACCTTCACTGGCGTTGGACATTGATGGCCAGTCAGAGGACGAAATACCTGGCTTCCTGGACATAGACAGCATGTCCGACGGGTCTTACGGCTCTCTAGAGTCGATAGACAATCTCAATCTTAATACTAGTGGAGCACTGGTCGACTTTAATGAAAATGATGAGAATGTGGTCGATCTCACGTGCAGCGAAGACAACATTGACAAAATTATCAAGAGGGAGTCGCGCGAAACCCGTGATTTTAACAGCACCCCTTCCCCTCCAGTGAAGCAGAACCCTTCAGATAAAAATTCCTCGTTTGTTAAAAGCGAGGATATGTCAAACTCGCCGTGGATGTCCGAAACGCAGCTAGTACGTTTTCGCGCCACATCGGTGCAGACGAATACCTCAAGAAGCACAATATCAAGCTGCGTATGGGAAAGGCACGCACAGTGGTCACCCGCGATTACTCTGCTTATCGAGAAGGGTGGAAAGATAGTGAAAATATTGAATTCCGTCGGCGCAGGTTAGGATAATCGTATATTGAGCCATCTGATCTGTACCATACCCAGCCAGAGTTCCAGCTCGTTAGATTCTCCTACCCAGACTCTGGTGAGTTCCCTTTGTCATCATACTCGGATGTGTCAGTATGTGGCGGTTCCATACAGAATAAACAACAATAGAATATGCAATGGTTGGTACACAGTCTCTGGTCTCCGTAGACATCTTCGCTAGGAAGCTATGGTATTTTACCTTCAGTGATTACGTAGTGCAGTAACCGGTTAATAGCTTTTCGCTCCTCCACTGAATTATTACAGGAGTGAGTTACGCTATATACCCAATTTACCACTACTGGACGGGAGCAATTAATGTTGCTTGTGGGCTGATGTGGCAGATTGTAGGCAAATAAGA